GCGAGACATTCTACAAGGAACAGCGCATGCGCATCGCTGGAGGCATCGCGAGCGCATAGCGCTGGCATGCCTCATGACGCAGACATGGGTTCTCAGCACGATAGGGTATACTGTAGCTGCGAAACGGCGCGAGCTGTTGCGAGGCGGACTCCCGCCAATCCAATTTCCGCCTAAAGCGGGTCGAAACTTACTGTAGTTCGCTGATGTCGCGGCTCCGCGACGCGAGCGCTCCTAGAAGTAGGAGGCCGGGAGCACTGGCTGCTGACGCGCTATCCGGGGACGATTACGGTACTTTCTCACGCTTGCCGCAATCGCCTCCGGACCTCTCCTTGCCCTGGCGCGTTGCCAGCCAAAAGGCTATGTATAGCGGCGGCGCCTCATTTCATTGCTTTCCTGTCTCGTTCGTTTTCGATCGATAGTCATTTCTCATGTTTTTACTGAGCCTAGCAGTTTTAGCTCCCTCCTTTGATGTCACTTTCGCAGTAGCGGTCGAGCATATCGGAATTTAAACTACACTAGAATTCAAGTCAGACTGAGATTGTTTCGGACAAGCCACTTTTGGAGCTTTTGAAATTTAGTATGTTGATCTTGTAAGCTTTGGGAGCGGGGAGGCTGTCGCGCCTGGTCCGGCGACGCGTGGCGGATCTGTATTGGTGAAGTCTCGGGAGCATTATGTTATGTTTAGATTTTAGGCGCTCACCATCGGTAGCAGTGGATGGAGCACCCTGTCCCATGTTAGGGTTTTTCTTTTAGTTAGTAGTTTAATTAGCAGTTTTGTATTGTAGTTTTCTCGTTATTCTGTCATTAGAATGAATTATAAGTAATTTAGCATTGTTTCTTCTTGCGCTGGGGCATAGCAGCAGGCAAGGTTGGTCGCATGTAATACGCGGGCGAGCTCATCAGGTCTCGGGTAAAATCTAGATGCTTAGGGCCCATCGAGCCGCCACAGGTAATTTCTTGCGCTCCGCTTGCAGAATTTGGAAGAATGTTGGCCAATTTTTAGTCGAATGTTCGAAGAACATCGCGGTTTTTTATAGATTAGTTGCGGTGGCAGTGGCCGCACTCTCGCGCACTTTGCGCGGAATTATGCAAAAATAATGGGGGCCGCACGGTCCATTGCCAAGAACCGCACAGCCCGTAGGTACCTTCCGCTGAGAGAAAGTGCCCTAAACTCGGGTAATTTAACCGTCGTTGATACCTCCGCCACATGAGTTTCACCTTTGCACGGGGTATGCTTGAGGCCGTATAAAAAGAGTTCGAGCGTTTGCTGAAAGTTTGGCCAGCGCTCGCTGAAAGAAATTATTTGCCGAGCCTCGCAGAAGATGCTGTATTGCTGCCCGCTGGCAGAATATGCGACAGTAAAGGAAGTACCGCCCGCTGAAGGTTTGGCCACGCCCAAAAATTTCGTGGACCGCCTGCAGAAAGGCGCGAGTTTGCGTACCGTCTGCCCCGGCGATTATCTGAGTAGTTGCAGCGCAGGGGCCGCATGCTAGGAGATTTCCGCGAGCTCTGCAGAATGAGACCGCACGGTCTTTCATCAAGTACCGCTTTACACGTGATCGTCGCTCAAAATGTGCCTCAAACTCAGGATACCAACGATGACACCTTTGCCGTCAGAATGCTACCTTTATGCGAAACTGCATGGCAGGTGTAAAACAGAATTCCATTCGAAGGAATTCACAATTTTTGAAATGCTTGGATCGAACCGTACTTTCACTAGCGCTGCCGGTGTTTTTTCTATACATAATGTTCTCAGCTATTCTTTCTTGCAGAATTTCAATTTTTCATCGATAGGCAGACATCGTTGCAATTTTCACAAAACAAAATATGGAATGGTATGAGAGAATTTCAAGGAAATTTTAAAAAGCCAAGAAATGCGCAAAACGACAATCTTTAAGAGCTAGATTGAGCTTATTCCTCAAGCCAAAAATGGCATCCTATCAATTCCGTCAGATTCCTAACAAAATGACAGCTGCTCATTGGAAAATCTCGTGCGCCCAAACATGTTCGTCCGCGCTCTCGGAAATTGCTGCTGAGCATTGCTTGTTCGCGTGTTGGTCGCTGAAAGGAGCATTGCTTGATAAAAATTCAGCCCCCCCCCCCGAAATCTGATTGATCGCTCGCCAGAAAGCGAAAGTTCGCGGTCCGTCTGCTCCCGGTAATTATGTGAGATGAGAAAGGAACGCTGAAAAAAACGAACTTACTTAGGTATCTAAGAAGTCACATTTTTGCGGAAAAATGTTTGAAAAATAAAATGGCAGGCAGATCAAATAAAGCCTGGGAAAAGCGGAAAACTTTGACAGGAGTTCTTTGCGACAGGTCAGTGCCACTGCAACTTGACCTGCAACTGTTTCAGATTATTCCTCCCAAGTGGCGCCGTAAGTAATAGGCTGACCATGTACGCGATTGAGCGCAACGCATTATAAGTGTCACGGAAACAAGGATGCTACGATGGACCCTAGGATTATATTATTAGGCTGCTAGCAAAGTTTTGTTCTAAACAGAGCTTCTTGCTTTATAGTCCTGGCGCGCTCACTTTTTTGATATTGTATAGAATGTCTTGTAAACTAAATCAATAAACTGGCACAAACCGCACGCTTTGTAATAACAAGATAGAACAAATCCGAAGACCTTTTGAAAACTGGTGAAGTAGTATTTATAAGGTTATAAAAACGAAGTCGTTCTCAATCATGCACAACGATTAAGAATTATTGCTAGTAATTGAGTTATTCAGCATAACAAGACAAAAATGAAATTCGAAGCAAGTCGAAACCTGGGACTCTCACAAAGTTGAAGGAGCCGATGTACGCAAGAGTGTTTGTGGACGAGCTCCTATGATCAAAAGGTCGGAATCTCGAAATTTGGCAAAACTTTGCTTGGGATTATTTGACCTGCTGAACAGAAATTTATAATTATTGATTGAACTGACGCCTATTTTCTTGTGTAGGGTGAGACCCTATACAGTAAATCCACAGTAATCTCACAAAAAAGCTACCATGCAAACTCAGCATCGTTTTTGTGTCCAGCATGCCAAATAAAACCCTACGCCAAGTTTCAGCCAATTTGTGATAATCTATAATTTTTGCCCCATACAATAAGCCTACCGTAACCAGCACTGCAATATCAGCATTCGGCAGAACTGTAGTTGCGCTTGTAGCCTACGTTATAACCTACATAATAGCAAAAATTGAGTGTGTCACAAAGAGAGAAAAGTTGTAGAAGTAGTTGCAAAACTTAGTCAACAGCCTAATAATACGGGGTGTCCCAAAAAAATGTACTCACTGTTTGATTGCAAATGACTCTTTTGTAATGAAATGGTTTCGGGAAGCTTTAGGTGCCATTTTGTAGAGCGAGGTTCAACTTAAATTTACAGTATAAAGCAAATCACTGACCGATTTCCATTACTGTAGAATCACGGTAGGAACTTTGAAGAGGGTTTTGTGCCACGAAAGACCATATTTTGCCTCAGAAAGCAAACAAAACAACCTGAAAAGTCCACACTGGGCTAATTAGAGTTGCTGCTTCTAAATGTGAAGTTCGCAGCTTAATATAATGCTTTAATAAAAAGTTATGCGAGGTAAGCAGTACCGGCAGTTTTCCTAATGCTCCCAAAAATTACAGTTATACCGTTTAGAAAGCTTCGCAACCTTGCACATGATTGACTATTGAACTCAGCGTCCATGGAAACCCAATTACACAATTTTTCACATTTATTTTATTTTTGAAACCGCAGCTTTTTTCACAGTGACACCATATGCTTGAAGTTTTTACCGTAATTCTACAGAAGAGTAATCGGCGACTCGCTCCATACTGTAGATACAAGTTGAAGCCAGCTCTACAAAATGGTACCTAAAGCTTTCCGAAACACTCTATTACAAGAGAGTTATTTACAATCAAACAGTGAGTACATTTTTATGGGACACCCTGTATATGTTTGCAGTGACACACAAAAAACTAATCGCAGAAACTAGAGATAAAGGAAAAACTTGCTTTGAATAGATTATGGAAACATCTGATTTGAAAAGCAGACCATGCATCAGTGGGTTAAATGCCAAATCTAGGAAAAAAGTGAATCGAGAGAAAACCCTAAGTTAGAAAATTGATCAAAAATAAATCCAAGTCTTAAGAAATGAGAAAATAACCATTATCAAAGGATTCAAACTCTTTCATAACGTATATATGTGCTATTAAGCAGTTAACAAGGGCAAACTTCTGTATAAAAGTTTTGACAAGAAGAGCTACCTAACTTAGCTCGGTCTTTTGGCAAGCGACATATATATTCCGAATCAGCTTCAAACGCTGATTCCAAATACCCTATTTCTAGCTGCCACGCACCATTCCGAAGCGATTTATGGGCTTTTTCCTGCGCAAAATTGGCATGCTGATGAACTCAGTGGCATCACGGCACCATCATTTAAGTGCTGATACATCTGCGTTAAGCCTTTTTTTAGGACTGGATTTGTACTTCTTCGATACCTCAGCACCTTTTTCTTGCAGATTTTTATCTACAGGTAGTCTTCTCATATTCAATAATATGCCAATTTTGCGCAGGAAAAAGCTCATAACTCGCTTGGGAATGGCGCTTGGCAGCTAGGATTAGCATATTTGGAATTAGCGTTTGAAGCTGATTTAGAATATATTTTTCCCTTGCTAAAAGGCCAAGCTAAGTAGGTAGCATTCCTTATGAGATTAGAGATTTATTATACTGGTTACGTACTCTCTGTATTAGAGTGAGTGCTGGGTGAGGCGCGAAACCCCTGCGGCCGCCTCGCCTCGGCTCTACATCGCTCTCGCGAACGTGCTGTCTAATTATTTTCGCGGACTTTATTAGCGACCAAAGCTCGTATTTCTTATGCTCGTGATGGAAAAATGATAAGAAAGCAGGCCCGCAAAGGGGGTGCAGTGTCCGATCGAGGCGGTCGCGCGGGACCGAACCCCACCCAGCACCCGTCACCTCTAATGATACAGAGGATACAAAGAATTTGATACGATTTGCTCACCAGTACGTTGGAGTTGGTTTTACCTTGGATGTACTCAAACTCAGAGATCAACAGCGCTAGGAGATACGACGACATTCTGGGTGTTGGGACAAATTTGGTTTTCACCCAGTCACCAATCCTTTCCCTAAATGAAGTCCATCAGGTGCTAGAATTTCCCACTCAATTCTCTGATATTCTAACAAATTATTTTGAGAAGACTGGCTGTGCTGCTGCTCAACGCCCTTCCTGATATGTGCAGGGAGGAGCAAGATCATACGCCCAGATCCGCTTCTACTCGTACAAACAAGTCTATGCATTAAAAAATTCCTGTCTTGGTCTCGAGTCATGAATTTTGTCTGTGGGCGTATGTAAGAAAAGATTTGCGCTTTTCGTGATGATCATACAAAAACCTCCCCTATAAGGGCAATATACTTGGGGAAATTCGAAATTTTTTTCGAATATTCGACTATCGAATATATTCGAAAATTGAAAATTTCGAATATTCGAATATCGAATAATATTCGAAAATCGAAATTCTCGAATATTCGACTATCGAATATTATTCGAAAATTGAAAATTTCGAATATTCGACTTTCGAATATTATTCGAAAATTGGAAATTTCGAATATTCGACTATCGAATGTTATTCGAAAATGAAACTTTCGAATCGAATAATATTCGAATATCGAATATCATTCGTTATTCGAATTTCGAATATTTTCGGTCTTCGAATGTGATTCGATTTTCGAATATCATTCGATTTTCGAATACTGACCGAATAATTTACGTCATTGAGACTGCTTATGAAAGGCCAAAACACTAAGAATCAATTGTTTCATGTAAGTGCTAAGAATGGACACATTCATATGGTACATATTGCGATGGAAAAACGGTTTAGTTGTGACATTAAGAAACTTAGGAACATAAGAGCTACTCCTGTGACGGTTGCGAAGAGATTTTTCATACTTCAAAGAAGATTATATACCCTCACTGAGAGTTGCGATTGAATATACAGCGGTCCCAACAGTATGTAGATTTGTAGGCTGACATCAACTTAGAGCGTAGGCGATTTATTCAATCGCTTTTCACTGTTGTGAAATTACCATAAGACTGAAGCGGGTTTCAAAACATCAAGAGCCATTTCCAGAAAAAGAATCAAAAGGGCTGAAAGTCTTGCTTTAGATTTCTAAAGACACTCATTTTATGTAGAATTTGCACTCAACCGTAATGCTTTTTCAAAACTTACGCCAGGTATCCTGTGTCCCCAAGAAAAGTTCCCATGTGAGCCAGTGTGCGTACGTGGTGCGACGCTGCCTTTCGCTCTTTTTGACACGTTTCTCCTGAGATTTCAACGGAACTGCCCGAGGTTAACACGTTCAAAATAGCGAATGGCAGCGACATGACGTGGTACCTATGGGAAATTTGCTGGGGAACAAACGATAAACCGTAACACGTGTTTCGCAACGCCTTTCAAAAATGTGATTGCTATTCAAAAAGCTTGAAAACTCACGCGTAGTAAAATCAGCATACGTAAAAACACTGCTGCACAAATTTTAGACCTGTTTTGGGGTCAATTTTTTTGAATGTCTTATTTTGCAGTTGGTCTATAAGCTGGAATTTCCTACTGTGAAAACACACAGTAAGAAAAACATGGGTGATTCGCTTTCTGCTGTATTTATAAGCTGAAGCCACCCCTACTGGATGTTACTCAATTGGCAAAAGACTTTGAGAGGTATTGACGGTCAAACGGTGTGTAGATACTTTTAAGACATCCCGTATACGCTATGCATATCGAATTTTCGAATATTTGGTGCTTATCGCATTTTTGAATAGTCAATTCTTATCGAATTTCCGAATATTCGGTGCTCGACGAATATTCGAATATTTGGTGGACATCGAATGATCGAATGAATGACCCTCGAATATTCGACTATCGAATAATATTCGAAACTTTAGAATAAAGGATAAAGGATAAAGGATTCGGCGTCTTCAATACCCTTTGAGGGCATGCGCCAAACGCACACACTAACTTCATAGTGGAAGAGGCAACTGTATTCGTGCGAGCCTATTACAGGACTTGCGGGGGCCAGCCGTTTTCAAGTCAGTGCTTTTATCCTCCCAGATTACTCTGGTACCAATTTACCAGCCCCTAGAGGGCTTGGTTGGCCCAGGAGCGGGGATCGAACCTGCGTCCGATCTGGTCACAGCGACGCCTCATACCACTACGCCACTCGTCCCCCATTCGAAATTTTAGATTTTCGAATATTCGACTTTCGAATAATATTTGAAAATGAAGATTTTTGAATATTCGACTATCGAATATATTCGAAAACGGAAAATTTCGAGTATTCGACTTCCGAATTTTATTCGAAATCTCAGATTTCCGAATATTCGACTTTTCGAATCATTCGCATTCGAATGATTTATTCGAATGGTCGAATAATTATTCGATTCGGTCCCAAGCATAAAGGGCAATATAATCATTTGAAGTAATCGAGAAATTCTTGGGTGGCTTAGTACTTCAGGCCTTAGCAATGGAAGAAAATCGAATTTAGTAAACCATTAAAGAACACGACCAGCTAGAATGCGGTTCTCTGAATTATTGGGATAAGCTTCAGCACTATTTATCAAGATTAGAAGAAAAATGCCTTGCAAGCCATTTGAGTTATTAGGTTGGCGGATGATTCTTACATTTATATTTATCTTTATAGAAAAATCCAGAAGCGTGAAATCTTCAAGATTTTTCTCAATACAGGGTGTCCTAAAAGTATGTATGCACTGTTTGATTGTTAATATCTCTCTTTCCAAGAAGTCTTTTGCCTTGCTTCAGGTACCGTTTTGTAGAGCTGGCTTCAACTTAGACTTGCGTTATAAAACGAATTACCCATCTCTCTTCATTACTGTAGGATTACGGTAGAAATTTTAAATAGGGTTTTGAGCAATGAAAGGCCTTATTTTGCCTCAGAAAGGGAACAAAACAGCCTGAAAGTTTTTACACTAGGCTAACTAGAGTTGTTGATTCTAACTGTAAAGTTCCCAACTTATTATGATGCTTCATTGAAGAGTTATGCCGGGTAAGAGGTAGCGGCCATTTTTTCAATGTTCCTAAAAAGTGCGATTACACCGTTTAGAAAGCTTCGTAATCTTGTGAATAGTTGAGTATTGAACTCAGCGTCCATAAAAACCCTATTACACAAGTTTTCACATTTTTTTTGAAAAATTTTGAATTGGCAGCTTTTTCCACATTGACACCATATGTTTCAAGTTTCTACGGTGATCTTACAGTAGAGATATTACAGTAAAGAAAAGAGATGGATGATTCGTTTTATGATACAAATCTAAGTTGAAGCCAGCTCTACAAAACGGTATCTGAAACAAGGTAAAAGACTATTGGGGAGAGAGATATTAACGATCAAACAGTGCATACATACTATTGGGACACCCTGTATATAAAGCAAAATAGGCCTACACTACAGCATGGTTGGTGCCGCAAATGCACAAATAGCCAGCAAGTTCTTTATACACAACTTATCGTAACATCTAAGTATGTAAAAATCTTTTAAAATATTTTTGACTGCCTCTTTTATGGCAGCACTCTGGTGCCGCTGGCGTACTGAAAACGAGGGGTGGGAAATATTTCAAAAAATTATAAATCTATTCCTTTTTATTGCATCATATAGCATATGATGCATGAAAATTGAAAATAATCTCCGAATCTTTCGAAAAAAATGTCTCCATGTTATAATACGAATTGGCTCGACGTGGGCCAACATGACGCGCCAACAACTCGGATGAGCGCGTTCGGACATGATTGTGCCATTCCTCCTCCCGCCCCCCCCCCCCCGCCGTCCCGCCCTTCCTCCCTCTCCACCCCATGATTGCTTAAAAGCTCGCTAATTACCCAGGAGGATCCCAGTCGTTTGACAAAAACGGCAATCAAAATATACTCCAGCCTATACAGTGGTTTTTGCGCACGCGCCGCGTATGTAACAAAACCGATATGTAGAGCTTTGCACCCCGTCAGTACGCTAAATATGAGTTTTTTCAAGGCTTCTCAGATATTTAACATGGAAATTATCCGCCAACCTAATGTCTGCTATCATTGTATCAGGTTGTCCCATAAGTTTCGCCCTATTTCAGTCACAATAAATCATGAACTTCTTGTTTCTAGATGGGTTTCAAGGTACCGTTCGTTAGAGCAAAGCAAGCTCTACAGAAAGCTATCTTGGTTTTGCGCCAACTCTAATCCTTCTCGAGCTTCAAGCCCAAAATTAAAAAGATTCAATTGCCTGAAAAATCGAGAAAAGATCGTAACTCCATCTAAAGAAATTCTGCTAAAATTCTAACTTGTTCTCCTATATACTATCCATCTAAGAAATGTATATACTCCGTTGCCGTATTTTTTCTTCGGTTAGAATTCAAAAAAAACGAAGTTTTTCATGTTTCTGCCAAAGTGATGCTGTGCTGTCCCTACATGTCTAGTTGTATACTACTAGACTTCAGAAGTACAAATGTGAATTTTTAGCTCTCTATAAGCGCTAGTTCTCGAGAAATATGGATTTTAGCGTAATGCACCCAAAGAGGCAACCTATATTCGATACATCTAGGGAACCAAAGCTTGTAGGGTGCTGAAAATTTACATTTGTACTTCTACAGGCTAGTAGTACACAATTACCCATGTAGGGACAGCACAGCATCACTTTGGCAATGGCATGAAAATCTTCGTTTTCTTAATTTTTGACTAAGGAAAAAATACGGCAACGACGTATAAATGTTTTAGATGAATAGTGTTCACGTGATCAAATTAGATTTTTGTAGGATTATTTTCAAACAGAGTTACGATTTTTTTCGATTTTTCGAGCAGTTGAATTTTTTCAGTTTTCGGCTTGGAACTCAAGACGGATCAAAGCTGGTGTAGAGCTTGCTTTGTTTTGTCAAATTTTACCTTGAATCTATGGGAACAACAAGTTTACATTTATTGCTATTGAGAATCAAAAAACGGACGGAACTTATGGGACAGCCTGCTATATCAATCATTTATTAATATTTTAAAATCTCACCATTGACCCAATTTTTCACAAATGATGGAAATGCTTTTTGAAAGGCTAACTAACTTTGTCTCTTCGATTCCGTTGGAGATTGCTATGGTTCCATAAGGATGAATAACCGTGACGTTCCATGAAGCTTTGAATTCAGGCTCGTCAAAACAAGGAACCATGCTGCGCGCATCCAATGGTGCCATCATGGTTACAGCAGCTATTCTAGATTGAAAATTAAGTATTACACCAGACTTCTGCTTCAAAGCTACTTCTGAGAGCCATCGCTTTCCTTGTACACTGTACGATATAAACCTCCGAGATTTTTGTTAATCGGGCCTGTGTATGAGAGCTGAAATACTATGTCACATCCTCTCGCCTGCTACATACTTTACACCACTAAATGTAATGTTCAACTCACCTTCAATTTTGCTTGTTCTCCCTTCTGTAAGGGTGATGTTGGCACTATTCCAACTTCTTCCAATTTCTTTTGCACAAAAATCTTTGCAATCGCCACTTTTTTGCCATTCTAAACAAGAAAACAGCCGTGCCAAAATCAAGCAACATTTATGTTGCACAGATCATTTGAAAGTGCTGTAGGGGCTCAAAGATGATTGCAGAGGCGAACAGCACAAATAACTCTCTCTAATTTTATAAGCAAGTAGTATTTACAACCAGCCGTCTGACACCGCACAGCCTCTAGGGAAGAAGCAAGAGGCGCTGCACACTGTTCAGTAATTGCGCTGAAAGTTTAAAACGTCTTGCTAAATTCACAGCGGCATTGCATTCGACGCGCTGAATTACCTACTATGGATGTTTAGTAAACTTCATTCAAAAAAACTGTATAAGGCATCCAAAATCTGATAAAAATGGAACAGTGAAAATGAAACTCTAGGCAAAAAATAGAGGGAGACACTAATAAAAAACGGAAACAAGCAAAAATAAAGTATGGCCAACCAGGGATAACGATCGAACTAATCAAGGCCATAGAACATAGTGATGAAAGACGCCAAAGTATGCCACTAATGAAGATGTAGAAAATATAACGACACATTTGTCAAATGTTCCAAATGTCTATAGTCACGTAAGGACGACAAAGCTATGGCAGTTTTAGAGTTAATACGACTACAGCACGAAAATACCAGTCTCGATATACATTATATTTGAGGTCCTAATTCAACAATAATTTGAGTAGGTTCATACCACCTGCGGACCGTAAAAGGCAAGTCCGTCGCGGTTGTAAGTACACATATCTAACAAGGAAAGGAAGGTCGGTCGAAGTGGCCTTTTAAAATGGGATGTACACCTCCTTGTAGAGCTTGGAACGCTAATTCCAAATCTACCTTTGCTATCTGCTGCGGTTCTGGGCGAGGAATTATGAAGGTTTTTGTGAGTGAAAATCTGAATGCAAGAGTAGGCTAAAATCAGTCGTAAAATTTTTATTGAGCTTAATTGGTAGTCGGATCACTCAGTGCAACAAATATTCTTGATTCATATATACCAATTTGCTGCTGCCTCATCTGAACATTGGGAAAAGGTTATGACTGATTTTACCCTTATTTTCGCATTCAGATTTTTACTCACAAAAACCTTCATAACTCCTCGCCCAGAAGCCCGCAGCAGATAGCAAAAGTAGATTTGGAATCAGCGTTCCAAGCACTACAAGGCGTTATACACCTCATTTTAAAAGGCCACTTCGACCAACCAACCTTCCTTCCCTTGTAAGTTACAAATGCGCAAGAGACTAGTTCCCGTTTTTAGTGATCAGTGTGTATTTCAAAATGTTTTAAAAGCTGCCACTTTTGTATAAGAACTTTTGCTAACGTGGTTTCGCCCAGGCATCTTTTCAATATTGTTTAGAATATAAGCCCACTGAAGATACCAAATCTCCAAAAATCACACCAGTAACTTGGATATCTCGGAGAATTCTGTGGAGGCGTGGCTAATTCATGACCCCACATTAGAATTCATCGGAATTATTGGACTTTATTGGAATGGAATTTATTGGAACCCTGCTGCTTCCATCTTTCCTCCCTAACCGTCTTCAAGGCTAAACAGAACCCTAGCCACTTATTCATACAGTATGTTTCGACCCGTTAGTAGTTGAAACATTTGACGTAAAGCAAAGCGTCCGCATCGCTGAAGGCTTTACGAGCGCACAACGCTGGCACTTTGCCGTGCAAAAACTGAGGAGCTTGAAGAGACGGAGACATGTACTCTTAGCACGATAGGAGCATGTTCTTACAAGGGAAGGACCCTCGGTCGAAGTGGTTCCCACACGTAATGCATATCATTGTGCAGTTCTTGGGGTACTAATACCAAATCCATGTTCCTTAGTTGCTCAGTGATCTTTTGGGAAAAGTTACGAGTGATGGTTTTCCCAGGATGACCACGAGTGGTAAAACATACGAGGTACTTATGGTTCAAACTTTCTTGCATTTTTGCAAATTATTCAACGGGTATCGGGTGTTTCTCTGTCTTAGGGCCCTCCGAGGATACATATCAAACAATACATTCTACAAAATGGAAGAATGTTTAAAACATAAGTATTCCGAACGTTTTACCATCTCCTTCATAGTCTCCGCAGCTATCCACTTGGCCACCCCTCCATAACTGACATTTCTCGGCGCCGCTAACTCAAGCGATCCGCGGTCATCATAGGGAAACGATGGCTCGTAATTTTTCCCAGAAGATCACTGAGCAGCTGAGGAACACGGATTTGGTCTTAGTGCCCCGACCAGCACAATCAAATCTTATATTCTGCAATTATAATTCTGCAAAAAATCGATAAAATCGATATCGATCGATGATGAAAAGTAGCCTATGACACCCGCCGGGGCCCGAAGTGTATGTGTGCCAAGTTTGGTCCGGATCGGTTGAGAAATGGAATTTTCTATTCGGAACATACGGCGGAGCCGGGTAAGCCAGCTAGTGCATCATGTGTGGGAACCCGACTTCGACCGGGAGTCTTTCCCTTGTTAGCATAATCTATTGCTGCGAAACGAAGCGAACCGTTGCCAAGCGGACGCCCGCCGATCTAGTTTCCGAAACTGGGTTGTAAGCTATGTAAGCATATTTCCGCAAGAGGAGGGGGTGGGGGAGAAAAGCTGTGCAGGGACGCTTCAAATCTCGACGTTCTATGCGACTGTTCAATCTCTTGCCTCTCGCTCTAGAAAGAAACCTAATGAACAAGTGTAACGCCTGAATAGCGCATCTCCATATAAATTGAGTCGTTTTTAATGTATTGTACGACTACCTAAGAAACAGCAATGCTGCCAGTCTTTTCCAGAGTCAATCATCTTCCTACTAATCTGTAAGAAGTTGTAAAGGTATGATGACGATTCAATGCTGTTGTGACAAAAGCACTGTTGTGACAAAAGCAACTTTGATTCAAAGAAATAAAAAGTTGCTCTCAAATTTTTTAATAAAGACTCCAATGCTCGCTTTCGTCTTTCTCAAGATATTCAGCCTAGCATATTTTATGAGATCATCAGCAGATCCTTACAACATTTTCATCAAGTTTGTAGAAAGTTAAAAGCTTTGAAAAACAACTGGGGTCTTAAATATCAAAAAAGGGGCGGGTTAAATGGCAAAGAACTGTCATGATTATGATTGATCACCAATGTAAAGCGTCTACTATAAAAAATAAGCGATGAGGAAGATAGATTTGGCAAGTCTTCCCCCCCCCCCAAAAGATTATACAAGGTGTCAACCGTCTAGTAATTTCTAACAAACTGCTTACCACGTAAAGCTCACTCTTATCCTTGTCTATTGTGAGATTTCTCATGTTAAGCACAATCTTGTCTACCGCTTCAGTGACATCAAGGTCAATGTTGATCTCTGCTTCAAATGTAAAGTTTTTGTTGGCTGGAAAATCAACATAGGAAGGCAAATAGGTCTGCATTCTGAGATCGTAACCCACTGAAACAGAATAAAGAACATGGAATTCTAGTGATGTTCCAACACTCCCTACAAACTCACATGGTTTTATAGCTTTTGGTAAGTGAAGCTGAGCAGCCAAGGAAAGATGGTCTTCTGTTTCGTCATTTTCGTTAACTCTGGAATTTGCGAAATCGGCTTTTTTTTTCAATAGTTTCAGCAACAATCGAAGCTTTGCTGTCAATCAAGTTTATCCATGAGCCCTAACTGTTGGTATTAGATTTTCAATACTTTTGATTGCAATAATCAATACCGGTACTTGCGAATATTATACTTTCTAAAAAACTTTGTGACCACATGTGCTATATTATGCGGCAGATTGAATACAATAGCGTAACATTCCTGCTTGTAGCGCGTCCTTTTCGCTGCTAGGTGTTTCTTTTGACAAAGGGTTCTCAACCATTCTCAACCTCCGTCTTCACCCGTATTACCGGTGTTACCAGTGTCTTAAATTACTAATTTAGCGCACCCGTCTCCTCGAGACCCTGTCGATTCATTATAAGAGAGATCTCCAGCCTTTCTGCACTACTGTAGCCTGAAGTTTGCTAAAAGTCGACAAACTCTTTTTGATCAATAACGAAACGCAGCAGTACCACCCGCCCGATGTATGAGTGTAAACCATAAGAAACCGTAATCCCACTATAGAATCTAGAAAAGGGTTGTTTACAGTTGAACGGGTAATCAGAATTTTGGAACACCTTGTAAGATTCACTCTGCATATTAGTCGAAGATTGCAAATTAGTTTGAATTTTAGCAAACTTACCGCGTTTTGGATGTGCTAACGGTGTTCATGATAAATAACATAGCAAGTACAATCAACGCCAACACCACGAGAGTTACAAGCGTTTTTACCGTATGAAGTGTGCACTGCGTCACTGCTTGTTTCTTCGCACTCATCTGAATATGACGATTGAGTAAGGAAGCGAAAACAAAACATGTGAACAGCTACTCGGCCATCTGCAAATTTATTAGGCTTGCACTCAATTGCAAATTCTCCAGTAAATTCTCTCTTTTTAAATACGGCGACATTACATAGATAGTGATGTGTAAGCTACGAGTTACCGGAAACCGAGCAATGTTTGATCAATAGAAAAAAGTGAGCAGGGAATTGTCGGTACTCAACTCAGCCATTCCAAACAAGCTGTATATCATCGGACTCGCCTTAAAATGCTAAGTTTGTGTATACGTTTATTGACTGCTGAACGACTCCATTGAAAGAGTTATGAGCATTTAGACATGAGAATTCGAGTCCCAACGAGGACAATTCGTTGCAAGGCAGCCTGAGAGCACGTGACAGTGATTGTGAGTATTCTAGTCACAAGGTAGGAGAAATTTACTCACAACCCAGATAAGTGTTTTTGAAACGTTTTTCGTAGTACATGCACTATATGCACAGCGAAACAATTCGAAATGCTGAACACGGACATTTTCTTCATTTCTTGCTAATACGAAACGTCATACCGTAGCATCATGATAGAAGCCCTTTCATGCGAAATGCATATCAGTCATGAAAGCAGCATGAGGAATACTTCACTAGGCCAAGTCAGGAAACTCTGCAGCAACCTGAGTTTCCTTCTCTTAAGTCAACCTACCAAAGGCGAATTTGGCAGAAGCTGCACTCGTATTACATTATTATATTACCAAGGAACGAATGCTCGTAATTAAGAAGATTAAGGTTTTATGAAATACCAGTGCGTCACCCCTGCTTCGCAGAGGCTCGCACTGGGTCTTCTATCTATATGTCATACTCATTCCCGCATAACATGGCATTGAAACATACCGCGCAATGCCCGCCTTCACAAATAATTCGTAAACAACTACGCATTCCTCAAGCTTTTTCATGTAAGATCGGTATCTTGCGTGGATGACACTTTGGAAGATGAAGAACAAATGCAGAATTGGAAAACTCCTAAGTTTTTTCATGTCTTGGTAGTCGCCATAAGGATAATAAACAAGGCGGGCTACATCCCTGTGCAAAAGTCTTCTCAAATGCTCAGGTAAAAACCTGGCAAATTGGCCATAAGCAGATATTTTGTTTTGGCGCCTTCTTCGTGGAGCAATAGACTTTCATAATTTTTTTGGGCTGAAGATCATGGCTTGCACATCACTTGCCAAACATAATCACGACTTTGCTATAAGTGGTGATACTGACCAATATTGCGCACCAGACGTTAAGTGGATCCGTTTGGGCTGCAGTTTTTGAGGGTCCTGCTCAATGGATCTGCTCGTGCTTTGGCATGGTGAATCTGGATGGTGGCAGTGCGTGTTGTGCAAAAAATGCGGCGAGGATCTTATATGGAAAATAAAGGGTCGCAGATTTTTGCGATTATCTCAGTACTCGTCGAATGAGTCACATTCTAAACTTAATTGACTTGAAGAGGAAGAAATTGGGTTGAAAACGGACAGATCTTTTGCGTCGTACCCATGATATGATTGTATAAAGTGGTGTCCAAAATCATGAATCCATTCTAAGAAATGCCGTAGTTCGTTCTGTTCTCAATGAATTGATCCAGGATTTGATACAGCTATGTGTATGCCAGCCTAATCACTCAGCAAAACGAACCTTGCCTTCATTTGGGTAATCAAGGAAAAATATAAAAGCAGGCCTTTTGGCCAAATTTATAGGAAGCTTTGTAGTGCCTTAAAAAATCTGCTTCAGCTTTTTTGGCTTGGAGATATTTCCACGTGTATTTCGCTCCTGACATATGTTCCTAAGAAACAATCCTGCATTTACCCAGCTGGCGTGAGATGCATCTCATACACCTTCTAAACGATTAGTTACATGGGCACTAGGAAAAACTTTGAGCTTTTGCAGATGGATTAAACCCAACATATACCCAGTTGCAAGCCTGCGCAGATTCTTGCCCTTTAACACTTCTAGCACTATCATTGCAAACTTAAAATGAAGTTAAGCATTTCCGAAACAATAGGAATGTATGCTATATTCATCAGGTTCGTAAAGCCGCTTTTTGGCTCATTTTCAAATCATAAAGGGCGTAGATGATAGCCGCAGTTCCCATATAGCTTACCAAGCATTACCATGCTCATATTTTTGGAAGTAACAGTTTGCAACGCAGTTCCGCCTATATAGTGTGTTAGCACATGATTCTTTTGATGATTTTGGTCAAAGTCAGAATTAACTTACAAGGGAAGTACCCCGAGTGGCCGTGGCCTTTTAATATGAGATGCATAGTTCTGAAGCAGCTTCGAACGCTAATTTCAAATCTGCTTTCCGTTTCTGCGGAACGTTCTTCTGAAGAGAGTTATGGAAGCCTGAAAATCCTATTTTGGAGGCGCTCCTTGAGTTTGAGAGCGCTGCTATGTGCGTTGGTGGTGCAGTGGTGTAATGGTTAGTTGTTGGCATTGAAGGCGAAAGGTCACTGCTTCGAATCCGGCGCAGAGCGAACCGTTTTGCATTATGAATGTGAGTTTAAAAAGCACTCTAATTCGTCTGCAGTCAATTACTGTTATACCCTTAGCACAAACAGGAGAGAATATCTTTTCGACCAATGACAGTGTGCATTTTTTGAGCTTTATATGGTGACAAAAGTGCTAGGCCATGTTTGGTCCTGTTTTACTAGTAAGGAAGTCAAATAAAATTTGTTTTGCTAGAAAATTTTTTTCTAGGTCACTTATGCCAAAGGCATTACAGTAAGTGTCTGTAGACGAATTAGAGTGCTTTTTAAACTCACATTTATAATGCAAAACGGTTCGCTCTGCACCGGATTCGAACCAGTGACCTTTCGCCTTCAATGCCAACAACTAACCATTACACCACTGCACCATCAACGCACATAGCAGCGCTCTCAAACTCAAGGAGCGCCTCCAAAATAGGATTTTCAGGCTTCCATAACTCTCTTCAGAAGAAAGTTCCGCAGAAACGGAAAGCAGATTTGAAATCAGCGTTCGAAGCTGCTTCAGACGATATGCATCTCATATTAAAAGGCCACGGCCACTCGGGGTACTTCCCTTGTTAGCATGTTGCAATCACGTTCTACAGGATTAATTGTACCTACATGCTAGGATCTGTAGAAACTTGTAAGTCTGATATACGGAGTACAAACAAATAATGCCTCTACTACGTGTTCATAAGAACATTGAGGAAGAACATGTAGACAAAAGTTCGCTCTCAAGCTTGCGATCAAGTCGATCTTGGGTTTTTCAACAGCACGAAGTCGTATTTTCGATGTTTGAGCCACAAAGTATCCGGAACAGGCTGAAAATTTGCGGAATTTCCTAATCAAATAGGTTGTAAAAGCAAAATGCATGTGAAAGTATCTTCCAGCCAAAGAAGGTGAAGTTGATTCGTTGACCGCACGACTGGACATCACTGCGGAGCACGCGCCGCGAGATAAAACGCTTGCTTCAATACAAATTCGCCAGTGTACAAGGCGTGCTCCCGCGACATTTCAGCCGCGCCGCGTGATCCGCAGCGTTTGAGCAGTCCGTGCGGTCAACGAATCGACGATAGTTGAGTCCTTTGAGAATCGATGCAACTTGTCTAGAGCAACTGTTTGACACTTTCAATGGTGTATCTGGCGGAAAAATTTGCAGCTAGGGAGTGCTTTAACACATTGATGACCGCGCAAATTTTGAGTTGTCTGCTTTTGGGACCAAGGGCTGTCACGGATCAGTCAGCATTTTTCGATAAAATCACGCCTATTGCCGTCTACAGTACACCAATTAGCTATGTGAGCCTGGCAAAATAGACAAAGGTTAGTTCTAGTTAGTGCAAAAAAAAACTCCTGATATCAATATAGTCCGGGATAGTCGCCATATTAGCAAATTCAGGCCTTGACACACCGTGCGTGCCAAGCGGTTCCCCCGGGTAGTCATTGCTTGACACATCATTAGTGTCAAACGGTCATCAGCATGTTAATTAATAAAAACTCAAGTGGATTTTTATTTTGGCCAGCTTTAGGGCCTGTTTTCTTCCAAAATTTTCGACTTCTCTTGAATACAAGGGAGCAAGGCCCCTTTTTGGTGAGTGATAGTAGGCTGTAATACACATAGTCGTACCAAATTTTGGCTCAAATCAATACATTAGCACCCAGGTGAGTTACGGCATTTTTTAGAATGGACCCATGATTTTAGCCAACTATGTGTAAACGAAATTATTGATCGCGCTTCTCTCACAAAAAACGATTTACGGTTGAGAGGTCCATTTTTGTTCTGAAGCAATCCGCGCTTATCAAAATATTTGCACATTCAATCTGCGACAGCTGGCATCATCGAAGAGTTCAGTTATTTTTGCAGTCTGAAATCTGCGAAAAGTACTCTTCTCTGATCCTTTTACGAGCTGATTTCAACATCTGTTTTTACGTAGCCGTGCTTTTTTTCTGTAGACAGATTGAAATTAGCGCTCCGTGCTTAAAAGATACACATTCAGCATAGGAAGGTTACTTTGACTATCGTCCTTTCTTTGTTAGCTGAAATAAAACTGCATCCACTATGCTAATTTGCTTGCCAGTTGGCGACATTCATTATGACAGAAAGACGGTGAAATTTGCTATTAGAAGAAAAAATGCCAAGAAGCAGCAAGAATTGATTCTTATAAAGAAGACCAGTGAAATAAGATGTATCTTCTTTTAAGATTGCATTAATCATATGCAAATATATAATCGATGCTCAGTCATAATCCATTCTCAGCGTGCATATTGAGAAAGAAAATTTTGCTAAAACGTTGGATACACAAAAGTGTATGTTTCGGCATTAGATAGATAATGCTTTATAATTTTGCTTCATTGTTTAAGTTGGGTGATGAATGATTTTGGTCGCTTTTTCTCTTTATCTTTGATATAATATTCAGGTATTTAGGCTTTGATATAAGTTCAGTTATTCATGATTCATGATCACGCATTCTGAAATACTGTCATCAATCTAATGATTTTCTCTGA